GCTGCCGACAGACTGAGGATGCTCTCACTGGCAGCTTCATGCTCACCCTGGTAAGGGAGGGATGGGTGGCTGGGGAGGGCACCTGTGCAATGGGAGTGTGTGTGTGTAGGGGGGGAGGGGGTGGCTCCTTGCATGGACAGAGGAGTTGGAAGTGGTGAAGGAGACAGGTCAGTGCCCTGGGGAGCGAGGTCCCCCGACCACCCGCTGCAAAACAGCACAGCCACACCCCGCCATTGACAACCAAGATGGATGGGACAGGTCAGTGTTGGGAGCGGGGTCCCTGATACTCCCCACTGCAAAATAGCAAACACCACCCTGCATGTCGCTGTTTGCAAGCCAGATGCTGAGGAAGGGAGGAGGGAACCTTTCAGCTGTTCCTCTGCTGCTCCCCCAACCCCAGCTTCTCCCACCCTGAAAAATCTCTCTCTTCCAGACCCTCTCCTCAAACTCCCTGCTCTCCATGCAGGCTCTGTCAGGCAGAGCAAATGGATGGGGCTGTGTGCCTGGCGTTGAAGGTCCAGGTCAGGAGATGAATGGAAAATATGAAGTTTGGGGTGTACTGTATATGCCCCCCCCAATCTCCACCGCTGGAGGTGATGTCACAATGTCACAAATGTTGCTCTTATGTGGTGACTATGTTGCTGTTACCAAGTGGACAATACACAGTAGGCATAGTGTTCCCAGGTGAAATGTTGCTCTTACAAGTTGTTGATGCAAACAAATGTCTACTGTACTTCTTTGTATTTGTTTTAAACCTGGTGCCTATTAATTTCATTGGGTGACCCTTGGTTCTTGTGTTACGTGAAAGGGTAAATAATTCCTTATTCACTTTCTCTGTACCATTCATGATTTTATAGACCTGTATCATATCCCCCGTCGCTCTTAGTGATCTCTTTTTCTAAGTTGAACAGTCCCAGTCTTTTTAACCTCTTCTCATTTGGAAGCTGTTCCATGCCCCATGCCATTTTTGTTGCCCTTCTCTGTATTTCTATATTTTTTTTGAGATGAGGTGACTAGAACTGCACATAATATTCAAGGTGTGGGCATACCATGGATTTATGTAATGATATTGTGATATTTTTTGTCGTCTTATCTACCCTTTCCTAGCATTCTGTTGGCTTTTTTGACTGCTGTTGCACATTGAGCAGATGTTTTCCAAGAACTATCCACGATGACTGTGAAATCTTTCTTGAGTGGTGACAGCTAACTTAGACCCCATCATTTTGTATGTATAATTGGGATTATTTTTCCAATGTACATTTCTTTGCACTTATCAGTATTGAATTTTATCTGCCATTGTTGCCCAATCACATAGTTTTGTATCTTTGGGAGATATTACTTCATTAAGTGTATGCATCATTGTAGGCCAGGGATTTTATGTATTTTCATGGGGGGTTGGAGGATGGCCACAGCCCTCCCGTAACCAAGAACAGTTGGGGGGTGATTAGGCAAAATCATTCAGGTTGCGACACCTCTAGGGAGGTACCTCCAGCTGGAGAGGCTCTCGTATACTAGTTCAGATTGGATTCTCCAGAGACCATCAGGCAAAGAGAGGCCTTTTGGATAATATTTTGAGTTTAAACTGGCTCAGGGTCCTCTTTTTGATCCAGCAAATGGACAGAACATTCAGTCTAAGGGGGTGACCCCCAGTGCTTATGGAAGGCTTGGAAAGATTGACACCTACCAGTTGGAGTTGGGGTGACCTGAGATAAGCTTTTTAGCATGTGCATAGGTTCTTTTATTGTTTTTAATATGTTTGGTCTGTAATTCTTTCATCTTAAGAATAAATCTGTGGTAACTCATAACTTTTTGAAGAGTAGCAAAGCACAGAGGCTGGGCTGGTTAAGTTTGGCTTGCTGGGAATAACACCGTATAGGCAGGGAACTGTGCAATGACAATTCAGAAGGGAGAGAGACATTGGTCTCCTCCCAAGAGAGGTGATGGCTGAGCTATGTAGAATGGGTGCCCATGCTGGACCTCAGAGGGGGGGAATCCAGGTGCAGTTGTCGTGAACTGTGACACTTGTATATAAAATCTTTCACTTCTTAGGTGTTAACATAGTTTGATCCAAGATTAAGGCCATTTTGGCCTGCAAATTGCAATCTGCAGACAATTTCAAAATCTCAGAAATTGAAATTATGTTTAGCAACACTGTGTAGAACTTCTGTATCTCCTCATGTTGCATTTTCTGGAGCAATGTAATAATAGGAGTTTCTTGGGACAAAATGACATTTCCTGCTACCGTGTACTTCACATGAGCAGTCATGTACATATAGGGAATTAATTTTAAAGGGCTTTAAAACTCATGAGTTTTGCAAATTACACACCATTTCACCTTTCTGACACAAGGCAATGGATACTCAGCTTACTGTTTTGTGTCGCATGCTTTATTCTTCATCGAGGGTCTTCAGTTTTATCTTCTGATTCAGGCTTGTTGGCCTTTTTATTCCAAACTCTCTCTCCCTTCCACACCCTCCCCAAAAAGTGGCAGTTTGTGGTCCAGAAACTTTTCAAATGTTTTTTAGTCAGCCAGTTCTATGCATGTAATTTTTATACAAATGTGGTTAAAACACTGTAGTAGTCAGGGATTGATCGGATTAAAATTGCCTGACTGGCCCTGACATCAGCAACTGCTTGCAATTGCAAATGACTATAATGGTATTAGAGGTCATTCCCTCCTAAAATCAGCTCAAACTACTCTAACAGTATCAAGTCATCAAGTTTATAGTTTATTTTGTTATAAAGTAATATTGTCAATCCTAGAACTTCAAAAATCATTGTTTTTTTTCAATTGTCTGTCTCTCCCCCTTCCCCCCCCCTTAATATGTTGGCGTGTAGGCTGATTTTAACTCCACTTGCCCCACCCCTCAATGTGTTAGGGTTACTAACTCTCAAAAATGTATTGTAACACAATTTTGTCCCCTGCTGCAGGAGCCCTTGCTAGAAGACACAACCAAGAATGGGACTATATTGTGCTAGGCATTGTACAAATGCTAGTAAGAGAGTGTGCTTGCCAGTGATGGGTTTGTGAAGTGGGAGCTGGAACTGAGATCCATGAAACGCATATAGGGCCACAAAACATCCATTAGATGGAAACAAATTTTTAATCCTTGCTGAGCTGAATTCAGTGGTCAGCTACAGATGAAAGGTTCTGTAGCTCATTAGCAATGTCCTGAGGCATCCAATCTCCCACAAGTGCTAATTTTACAGCCTCAAGAAGGAGGCATGCATTCTAGAATGATAAATTTACCAAATTTATTGTGACCTTTTTGGAGCTTACTCAGGCACGGTCTTCCAGTGTGGACAAACAGGGACAATCTCCCACACATTGCTCTCAGTCTTTAAACACCAATATAATAAAGTGCTTCACCCTGTTCTTAAAGGAATAGCTCTCATTAACCAAAACACAAATACTAAAAATGCCACAGTAAAACAAATATTAACTAGGGCTGTCAAGCGATTAAAAAAATTAATCATGATTAATCAGGTGATTAAAGTGATTAATTGTGTGATTAAACAATAATAGAATACCCAAAAATAGAATACCATTTATTTAAATATTTTGGATGTTTTCTACATTTTCAAATATATTGATTTCAATTACAACACAGAATACAAAGTATACAGCGCTCACTTCATATTTATTTTTGCTTACAAAAATGTTTGTGCAGTAAAAAACAAAAGAAACCGTATTTTCCAATTCACCTCATACAAGTACTGTAATGCGAGTTGCACTTACAAATGTAGAATTATGTACAAAAAAAAAACTGCATTCAGAAACAAAACAATGTAAAACTTTTGCGCTTACAAGTGCACTCAGTCCTACTTGTTCAGCCAGTCACTCAGACAAACAATTTTGTTTACATTTGCAGGAGATAATGCTGCCCGCTTCTTGTTTACAATGTCACCTGAAAGTGAGAACAGACTTTCGCAAGGCACTGTTGTAGCTGGCGTTGCAAGATATTTACATGCCAGATGCGCTAAAGATTCATGTGTCATTTCATCTTCAACCATCATTCCAGAGGCCATGTGTCCATGGTTATGATGGGTTCTGCTCGATAACGATCCAAGCAGAGCAGACCAATGCATGTTCACTTTCATCATCTGAGTCAGATGCCACCAGCAGAGGGTTGATTTTCTCTTTTGATGGTTTGGGTTTTGTAGTTTCCATATTGGAGTTTTGCTCTTTTAAGACTTCTGAAAGCATGCTCTACGTCTCGTCCCTCTCAGATTTTGGAAGGCACTTAAGATTCTTAAACCTTGGGCTGAGTGCTGTAGCTTTCTTTAGAAATCTCACATTGGTACCTTCTTTGGGTTTTATCAGATCTGCAGTGAAAGTGTTCTTTAGACGAATAATATGTGCCGGGTTATCATTTGAGACTGCTATAGTACGAAATATATGCCAGAATGTGGGTAAAACAGAGCAGGAAAACATGCTATTCTCCTCCAAGGAGTTCAGTCAATATTTAATTAACGCAGTATTTTTTTTAATGAGCATCATCAGCATGGAAGCATATTCTCTGGAATGGTAGCCGAAGCATGAAGGGGGATACGAATGTTTAGCATATCTGGCATGTAAATACTCAGCAGTGCTGGCTACAAAAATGCCATGTGAACGCCTATTCTCACTTTCTGGTGACATTGTAAACAAGAAGCGAGCAGCATTATCTCCCGTAAATGTAAACAAACTTGTTTGTCTTAGTGATTGCCTGAATAAGAAGTAGGACTGAGTGGACTTGTAGATTTTGTTGTTGTTGTTACATAACTGCACTCAAAACCAAAATAATGTAAAACTTTAGAGCCTACATTTGTAAGTTGTACCTTTACGATACAGAGATTGCATTATGGATGAGGTGAATTGAAAAATACTATTGCTTTTTATTGTTTTTACAGTGCAAATATTTGCAATAAAAATAATAATATGAAGTGAGCATTGTATGCTTTGTATTCTGTGTTGTAATTTAAAACAATATATTTGAAAATAAATTTCAATTGGTATTCTATTGTTTGTGCGATTAAAACTGCGATGGATCGTGATTAATTTTTTTGAGTTAATCATGTGAGTTAACTGTGATTAATCGACAGCCTTAATATTAATACCCAGTTCACTTCTGCATACGTTGTATTGGAGTATAAAATAATTCCAACAGTTACTCCAGGGTTCTTACTAGAGCTAGTCATGAATTTTCTAATGAATCCTTTTTAGTTGGAAAATGGCAATTCATTGAAACTGAAACATTTCCTGGGAACATACCGGTTTCAGTGAAACTTTCGTAGGTCCAGGATGGAATTTCTGATCAAAACCAGAGAGAGAGAGAGCGTGCAACCAACCCAGGATAGCCAACAGCCTGGTGGTTAGGGTACTCAGCCTGTGGGAGACTTTGGGCTGAAGTCCCAGCTCTGCCTGATTCAGACCAGAGGCTTGGACCTAGATCTCCCACATCCCATACGAGTGGGTCGGGGACCATGGTTCTTGAATGCTGATCCAAAGGGCTTGTAGGAGCTAGTAAGTTCCAACCTGCCACCCAATGAGCTGCTAACAGTTGGCAAAAGCAAAAACTTCACCACCAAACCCCGCAACCTGGGGTCCGACGACTGCTGCCCATGACTGCAGTCCTGGGATCTGATTGGGTCCCTACTTGTATTTAAACCAAGTGCAGGAACAGGAAATTGTCCATGCAACTGGCTTTTCCCTGCTTAGGGCTGCTTCTGCCTGATTTCTAATCGCTGGTCCTGCATCCTGACAGCTGACTCCTGCTTTGCCCTCTGGCCTGGCTCAGTCTGATCTCTTGGTATCACACCCGGCCCGGCTCCTGTTCCAACCAGTAGGTCAGACTGCCCATGTCCCAGTTATGACAGAGTGTTCTAACCACCAGGGTATAGAGTCTCTGTCTCCAGCTGGAGCTCTTCCCCCTTGTATAACTAATCATTTGGCCAGGGAGAGAGAGTGACTCTATAGTCACCAAATCAGGCAGAGCATGGAACTACCTGAGCCTCAGTCTCCCATATTGCAGGTAAGTGCCATAATCACCAGGCTGATGGCTGTTCTGGGGCTGAGGCAGCTCTGTCTTGCCTTTTGTGAAAAACTTATGGCCTCAGTTTCATCCTGATGTACAATGGGAAAACTTTTGAAATCTCAGAGTTCTGTGTGGTGGTAAAACTGTTTCCTACTCAGTTGTAGTCCTCACACTAACTTATGCATAAATTCTTTCCCCTCAAATGCATAATCAGGAGGGTTTGAACCCACAGCCTTCAGATCTACAGCACATACTCCTACCTCTCAAAGGGGAAAGGTAACTGGTTGGCGAAAGTATAGTGTTATCCTCTCTGTGAGCCAGCTCATACAGGGACATACAAAATATGCTTTACCACTGGGTTACACAAGTATTTGAGAGAGAGAGAGCATCATAATTCTAGTTTCTATTTGTGGTTTGTGTAGCAGCATTTTCTAGTGCTCATGGTAGTTGTGGTGGTGTCTTCACCAAAGGAAGATGTGGTACATTCTGTCCTGCCTTTGCATTTGGTCTCTGAAGGGTCAGGTCAGCTTCTGGAAGAAGGGGTTATTATAAACCTCAGGAAATTAACCCCCTCTCTGAAATCTGTCCACCCATGATCAGTCTTCAAGCCCTAGAGTCTTCTTCCCGCACCCCACTCCTTCCAGGAGAAGCTTGCTAAAGCATTTCTTGTAGCAGCTCAGATTAGGAAGTCAAATACACATCCATTCAAGCTGATCTTCTATGTAATGAGCATCATGTCGTCTTTCATGGCTCTGATCCCTTGAACCAGCAAACCTCCCTTCCTTCACCTAGTTTTCTGGCTCAGTAGATTCTGCGTGCAGGGAAAGATTACCTTAGCTCTAGCAGTCCAGCACTGCTGGAGGAATCCCAATGAATTTCTCCAGGGAGTGCGTGCCTCTGCTGGATTTTTAGGCGAGCAGTCATCACCAGAGGTGCAAGACTGGATGGGGATTCTTTCTCATCCCGGAGATCTTGCTTCCTCATCAAACTTCTTGAGCTGCAAATGGGAAGATTGGTCTTCAGATTACAAGTGATTAACCCAGCACTGATGTCAAATAAATAAGCAGGGAAACATTAGCAAAAGAAGCCCTGATCCTGATAAACTGGGCAGAACACATCTGATCATTGAAATACCACTTGCCAAGCCTGTGTTCAGACTTCAAGTGAAGTGGCTGAGTCCCATCTGCCAGGGAAATCGGAAATGTATCTGAAGTTTTCTGATGACAACTTCTCAATGCTTGCAGATCTGCAGCAACCAGTAATTCCAAGCTTCCACTCTTCCACTGAGTTGCAGTGGACAGTGGCTTCTGTGTGACAGACATCATGTTCCCCATCTCTTGAGTTCACCTAATGTATACCTGTCTTTCTGATCATTTGTCCTGATGAAACTAAAAGTAGACAAAATAAGTCTGATTTTGATTGCCCCTGATTCTAGTAGTACTCTGACCTGTCGGCCTTTGGTAGGAGATTATCTTCCCATCGCTTGAGTCAAAAGTCCAGTGTGTCACAAGACTTCAGAAAAGTTGTTTTAAAGGGTCAGCTCATGAAATAGAATCCCTGGTTTATGAGACCATGTCAACAAGGTTAGTTTCCACCTTGCTGATATATAGTAACATTATGCACAAAAAGAACCTACCTAAAATACCTGCCACTAGTGTATCTGAGCACAAGATTGCTTATAGCTTTTTTCTACTTCATGGGTGTTGGAGTTTTTTCGGGAAGATGTTGGTTACCATTAGGCTTTTAGGGGTCTGGCATTCACCCTGCAGGCCACTAAAGGGCATACAATCTAATAGAAAACCCCTTTATGTTCTCAAGAACCAGGTGACCAGCATAACTTAAAATATCTCTGCTAGACTGCACCATATTCAAGTTTGGAGTCAAAATTTGGTTTTGTTTAACCTCTCCAGGGGTAAGGGCCTATTCCCTAAGAGGCAAAGTCACTTCATGGGCTGAGAGAATCTCTGAGATGTGATATTCTAGGTAGTGACCTGGCAATCACACCACACCAGTAGTCAGTATTTCAGAATCTATATCAGCGCTTTAGTGAATATGGATTATTTGGATGCAGTGTTTTTTAGGAGCCGTAGTCCAGTACGTTCCCTCTCCTCACCACCCTTTCTATCTCAGCCTATTGAGGGTTTACCTTGAGGTACTGCTATGCATAGCTCAGATGCCAGTGTTAAGCTGTTCACCGAAAGGGAGATTTTGGTCTTGGTTTGTAACTGATTTTTCTGAACAAACCTGGGGTAAATCAATTGTTGTTTTAACCAAGAGGCACTCCACTGAGCAAAAAGTGACTTTTGTCCTTTTTTGTTTTTTTACATAAAAGCATCAACAGCTTTTGAGATTAGATGTAAATCCACTAGTGTAATTAACCGGTGCCTGACACCAGGAAAATTGAACCTGCTTCCCAAAATGCACTAAGTATCAAATATGAAAAATATGTATCGCTGACTGGCAATATTGTGCATGGTTAGTAGCAATCATGTTTAAACAGCTTATAAGTGGTCTGCTATATAAGGTGTATGTTGGACAATAAAAGTAGTAAATTATTGTTGATACTGAACACTGTAATGCTGTGTTGTAGTTGGAAGAAGAAAATACTTTAGTGCAGGACGTAGCAGGTGCCCTGAAGACTAATTTTGGTAAGCATCTCCTAAATAAAGGGTTGTTTTGTTTCATGTTTCACTTTTCTGAGGATGCAATTTGCAACTTCTACGTTTATTTTAGCTTCGGATTATGTGCATGAGTATGTTATTGAAAAAGACAATCTGTGTGCAATCAGCGAAGTGGAATTGGAGATCCTGCTAAAAACTAAACCAACCAACCCTTTGTTTTTTGTTTCCTAAACAGAAGCTTCACTATGAGGCGGGGTGGATGGAGGAAACGAGCCAGCAATGACGATGGCTGGGGGATATGGGTATGTTTAAAACCAAAAGGCTTTTTATTGAAAGGGTAAATAAATGCAATGTTGTTGACACTTTTTTTGATTTTTTTAAAAAAAATACATAATGTGTAAAGGGCTTCAAAACACACATACATATATTTGCTCCACTTGAAAGAGACTGTCAGATTAAAAATCATTCCAAAAAACACATGTCCTGACTTTCAGAGATGTTCAGCAAAGCCATCCAATAAATTGCACTTATTTACCAGTCCATGTTCACTGGGTCTTATTTTAACATTCCAGACTCTTGAGCAACTTTCAACAGCCTCCAGTTTAAAAACAAAAGAACAACTTACTGAAAGAATTAATGTTTTCTCCACTCTTTTCTCTCCCCCCTCCCCTTGGAAAAAATAATAGATTGACCTTACACCAAAGATGGGCCGTTTGATATCTTTCATCCCTGCAGAGTAGGAATAGGAGCTTTTTTGCCATTGGGGAGATTGTATGATAGGTCCATTTTTGAGAGATTTGAAGTTACAATTTTCCTTTTCATCTAAGTCCTTTACAGTTGGACATGTGACAACAAAGGCACCTAAATTTAGATAAGTGTATACTACGCCACCATGTGTCATGTACATGTAGGAAGAAAGAATTCATGAATTATTTCAGGAAAATTCTATGGCCTGTATATACAGAAGGTCAGACTAGATGATCACAAAGGCCCCTTTTGGCCTTGGAATCTCTGAAGGTTAATGGATTTGAGTCTCTACCCTATCCTTAGAGCACATAGGCCACGAATTACCAGCCAAACTCACTCTCTGTGGCTTTATTTATTTTCATTTGACTTTATTGCTAACTCAAACAATAAGGAAACATAAATCCCAGCCTAAGCTTCCTCCCTGAGCTTGACTTTTCCTAGGGTTTCTCCAGAACTTCCTCTGAACTAGATCATTCTCCTTCAGAGAGCCATTCCCATGTCCTTTACAGCCAGAGTAGAGCCACACCTTCACAGCAGGTGTGCAGACCTAAAGTCCTCCTGTGTGGGATTCTGCCACCTGGGAGAGTAAATGAAGAGCCTTGCCACGTTGCTAGCATGGTGCAACTGTTTAATCAGCAGGAGTTTGGATTAAATATATTACTCATGGTTTGGAGAAACCGCATATGAATTTTGCAGTTCATCCAAAATGAGTTTCAGGAGGGAAAACCAAATTTATACAAACTATTTTCAGGATGGAATATCTGATTGAGTTTACAGTTTTTGTTGAAACTGATCTGTTTCGTACCTAGGCATCAAAGTGAAAATAGTCGTTGCTTTGGTTCATGTTTAATCTTCTCTTTTATTTAAATTCTAGGGAGGATACATGTCTGCAAAGGTCCAGAAACTGGAGGATCAGTTCCAGTCAGATGCGGTTATACAGCATCAGAAGGATGGAACTTCATCCAATATCTTTAGTGGAGTTGCCATCTATGTCAATGGCTTTACAGGTGAGGTTTTCATTTTTCTCCGAAACATTAAAAGTGATTCTCGTTTATATTAATGCCTCTCTACACTGCTGGTGAGGTATAAAGGAGCCTTATTGTAAATGATAATCTGGCCTTAAATATGTATAGCTGATTAAGAGCCTGCAGTGGTATAAATAAAATTTAGTTATGATTGTAAAATGTTCCTTGGAAATTTATGGTTAAGGCTCAGGTGGCTTTCTATACAAAATCATTTTCTTCAACTAGTCATAATGTGACAAAAAAATATTGTTCCACTTGAAACTTTACAAGCTTGGGTCTCAGACTGGAGTTTTTTCCTAAATTTGGCAGAATTTGGTCTTAAAGTTTGAGTTACCAGAACACTCCCAATAAAATATTAAGTTGGCTGGGTCTTTTCACTCAAGTCAGAGAGCTTAATTTAAAAAACTGAAACTTGATTAGTCGTCCTAGGGCTAATAATTTTGTCTACTTAAGAAAAAAAGATACTTTAAAATGATATCCATCAGCCATCAAATCAGAATGGCTACTGAAACATTCCATAATGGCATCTATTTTTTATTTTTCAATTCTGAATGTAAGCATTTTTTCACCATTTAATTATATGTATGGCCATTGACATTGTCATTAAGCAAGATGTGGACCAATTGGAGAGAGTCCAGAAGAGAGGAAGAAAAATGATAAAAGGTTTAGAAACAGGGCCTATGAAGAAGGGTTAAAAAAATGGGCCATATTTCATCTTGAGAAAAGAAGACTGAGGGGGAATTCGATAAGTCTTCAAATATATTAAAGGCTGCTGTAAAGATAATTGTGATCAGTTGTTCTCCATGTTCACGGAAGGTAGGAAAAGATGTATTCAGTTTAATCTGCAGCAAGATTAGTTATTAGGAAATACTTTCTAACTGTAAGAATAGTTAAGGAGTGGAACAGGTTACAAGGGAGGTTGTGGAATTCCTGTCATTGGAGGTTTTTAAAAGCAGATTAAACAAATATCTGCAATGGATGGTCCAGGTATACTTGGTCCTACCTCAGTGTACTGGGAGGGACTAGATGACCCTTGAGGTCGTTTCCAGACCTTCGTTTCTATGATTCTGTGATAATTGGCAGTAAATGTTTTTCCATCTATCATGTGAATTATTATTGAAATTGAACTTAGGGATCTGGAAATCCAATAAATTTATCTGGTGTTTGCAGAGTTTTTAATTCTGCACCCAGGATAATCCTAACTTTGCATTTCCAAACTATTGATCATGGAGTATCCCAGTCACATTATCAGGTAGCAGATACGTGGGGTATGATGATCAAATTTACAATTTGGTGGATGGAGTGGGCTCTTCAGTGCATCATGTCTGAGACAATGAGCCTTATGAATTGAATACGGGGGGATGAGAGAGAAATAGATGTATGTTGCTTTTAAGGGGCTATTCAGATAAAATAGTCTGTGATTAGGTTAGTAAATGTGTTGTGGGGAGTAGGGTAGTAAGATTCATCTACAGGATTTAGGCACACATTTCTCCTGGGTTCCACAAAGAAACCCAGAAGCCTTTTTGAAATCTTCCAGAAGCCACTGTTTCGGGGAGCTGTACAGGGGATTTTGGGATAGGTACCCATTCAACAGTACAACTGCAGTGGTGTTGAGCAGCACTAGTGTGTGCACAAGGCAAAACTGAAACAGACACGAAAACCAAAATAACCTGGCTGGCATGGCCATGCTGCACCACTGGCACTTAGTACACTCTTACTGGTTCAATTTTTAGCATAGACAGGACCAATTAGTTGAAATCTTTTGTGTGTTTTTTCTTTAAAACAGTGGCTCTCAACCTTTCCAGATAACTGTACCTCTTTCAGGAGTCTGATTCGTCTTGCGTACCCCCAAGTTACACCTCTATTTAAAACCTACTTGTTTACAAAAATCAGACCTAAAAATCCAAAAGTGTCACAGCACGCCATTACTGAAAAATTGCTTACTTTTTTGGGCGATCACTCGTTACTGAGTATGATCATATTTCATGGAAGTTATGGGTCCTCAGGTGGCTAATAAGGCCAATCCTTGAACCACAAGTTCTGTTGGAATGAAGGCAGATGTTTTCAGGCTCAGCAGGAGGCTGTTGACCATGACTGGAAGCCAGTCTCTCCTTCCTTCTGTGCCTCTTGTCCTCTTCAGCTTGTCGGCGAACAAGTTCAAAATGCAGGGGAACATCACGTAGGACTTCACTCCATTTTAAGCGATCCTGGGCAAGTGTCTCCCAAGTGTCAATGCCAATATTACACTTTTTTTAGGTTGTCCTTCAGTAAGTCCTTATAACGCTTCTGTTGTCCATACACTTCTTTCAGCTGAGAGAACAAACCTGTTTTGGAAGGCAATGGTCTGGCATTCGGACAGTGTGACCAGTCCAGCAGAATTGCTGATGGATGACTGTTGCCTTGATACTGGTGGTCTTTGCCTCTTCCAGGACACTAATATAGGTGTGCCTGTCTTCCCATTTGATTTTCAGAATCTTACGAAAGCAGCGTTGATGGTGCCTCTCAAGGACTTTCATGTGGTGTCTATAGGTTGTCCAAGTTTCGGACCCATACAACAGTGTTGGGAGAGTAGCAGCTTGATAAACAAGAAGCTTGTTGTCTGTTCGAATGTCGTGATCTTCAAAAACCCTATGCCGTAAACAAGAAAAAACTACACTAGCACAGCTCAGGCGAAACTGAATTTCTGCATCAATGTCTGCCTTGGATGAAAGATGACTTCCAAGGCAGAGGAAATGATCGACATTCTCCAGTGTAACTCAATTGGTTTTGATAGATGGGGCATGTAATACCTCTTTTGGAGAGGGCTGATAGAGCACTTTAGTCTTCTTGATATTAAGAGTGAGACCAAGACATGCGTAAGCATCAGCAAACACATTCAAGATAGTTTGAAGATCTTTCTCAGAGTGGGCAAAGATTGCGTTGTCATCAGCTTACTGAAGTTCCACAATAGATGTTTTGGACATCTTACTCTTTGACTTTCAGCCTGCTAAGCCTGAACAGCTTTCTGTCCATTCTGTAAATGATTTCAACGCCAACTGTAAACTTCCCAGCAACTAGGTAAAGAATGACGGCGATAAAAACGGCAAATATGGTTGGAGTGGTGATGCAGCCCTGTTTTACTCCTGTTTGTACTTTGAAAGGTTCACTCTGGGAGCCAGTGCTGCTCAGAACAGTCACTTTTATATTATCATGAAGCAATTTTAGGACATTGGATGTCCTGATAAATACATCAATCTTAGAAAGTACAGTCCAAAGGGCATGGCGATTCACTGAATCAAAGGCTTTAGTTAAATCAATAAAAGTCATGTACAGTGGTTGGTTTTGCTCCCGACACTTTTCTTGCAGCTGCCGTGCTGTGACGATCATATCCACAGTTCCACGACGTGGTTGGAAACTGCTCTGTGACTCCGGTAAAATTTCTTCTGACGGGCAGAAGGCAAGTTGCAAAGATCTGCACCAGAACTTTGCCCGCAATGGCTAGGAGGAAGATACCACGATAATTTTCACTATCCGCTTTATCCCCTTTCTTGAAGAGGGTGACCATCATTTCACTGGGTATCTCCTCCTTTATCCAGATTTTAAGAATAAGCCTGTAAAGCTGCCGAATTAGCTCTGGTCCACTGTCTTCAAAGATTTCAATGGGGATCCCATCTAGACCTGCTGCCTTGTTGTTCTTCATCTGCTTGGTGGCATTGTGTACCTCGTACAAATTAGGAGGGTCTCCGAGCTCATCCCTAAATGGCTGTTGTGGGATTTGCTCAAGGACTTCATCTGCAATCATAGAATTACGGTTAAGGAGATCGTCAAAATGTTCTTTCCAGCGAGAATTGATGGCTTTGTTGTCCTTCAGAAGTGTGGTTCCATCCTTAAAGCGAAGAGAATTCATACCATGACAATTTGGTCCATAAACAGCCTTGGTGACATTAAAGAAACAACATGTATTGTGGTCTGCGAGATGTTGGAGTTCTTGTGCTTTCTCAGTCCACCATTTGTTCTTGAGTTCTCTGGTTTTACCTTGGACTTCCGCCCTCACCTTGGCATGGGCTTTTCTCTTTATATTACAATTTGTCATTCTGCCAAACACGAAATACCATTCTCTTCTCATTAATAAGTTGCTCAATTTCAGCATCATTCTCATCAAACCAGTCCTGATGTTTTCTGGTTTGGTAGCCTATGGTCTCCTCACAGGCATTGGTGATTACTCAACTGGCTCCAGTGTTCCTCAGTTTCTTCCGGAAACTCTGATGGGAGCTTTTCTTCTAAGACTGCTTGGAAGTGGTCATGCTTAATAGGGTCCTTCAAATCTTCAACTTGTGCCTGCCCTTCTTTTGCAGACTCCATTTGGGAGTGATCTTAATTTTCATTGTGGATTGAATGAGGCGATGATCAGTCCAACAGTCATCAGCTCTTGTCATTGCTCTTGTGAGAAGTACGTCACTACGATCTTGGGTATGAACTATAAACGTAGTCGAGGAGATGCCAGTGCTTTGACCGTGAGTGTCTCCAAGATGTTTTGAACTTTTCCTTTTGTCAGAAGAGAGTGTTCGTAACAATAAGTTCATGTTCAGCACACTTGGTCAGGAGCAGAATTCCATTTGAATTTCTTTTGCCAACTCCCTTCTTTCCCAATTGATGCCTTCCACAGGTCTGAATCTCGTCCCACACATGCATTGAAATCCCCCAGAAGGATGATCTTGTCTTCTGTAGGGGTCTCCAATAAAATGGTTTCCAGCTGAGAATAATAATCTTCTTTTACATTCTCATCAGCATCCAGTGTCGGTGCATAGGCGCTCACAATAGTTGCCTGTTCATTTTTGGTGAGCCTCAATTGGAGTGTCATAAACCGCTTGTTGATGCCAACAGGTACCTCATAGAGGCACCTTATGAGCTTGTTCTTTATACCAAAGCCCACTCCATGCAATCGGGGTTCATCTATAGATTTTTCCCTTCCAGAAATAGGTGTATCCTCCTTTCTCCTCCCTCACCTGTCCTTCATCATCTCTTCTAGTTTCGGACAAAGCAGCAATATCGATGTTAAACCGACTCAATTCACGAGCACTAATGGCTGTACGTCGCTCTTGTCGGTCGCTGTTTGAGTTGTCCATCAGGGTACGTATGTTCCAAGTTCCAAAGTTGAATAGTTTCTTACATTTTCAACCGCTGAGGTGGTGATCCTGCTGGATGTGGCTATCCAGCCAGAGAAAACAGAGGCAAGACTATTTTTAGGGTACCTTTTATAACCCTCACCCCAGGTGGGGTGAGCAGAGTGGATCCTAAAAAGGATTGCTCAGTCGTGGGTGCAGCGGCCAAGATGCTTGACCTGCCTCGAGCAAGGCGACTGTGTATCACACACCCGCTGCCTGTGTGTCGGTCTGTAACTAGGAACTTCCGGATTTCACTGCCCTGTTCCCGTCGCTGATCGCCACCGGACTTCT